TTGGTCATCTATAATAAGTTTTACAAGAATATTAGTGAAACATAAATAAATTTGACCATCAAAATAATAAATCTAAATTAGTCATTGAAACAAAAAAAAGTTAAAAAATATATATATGTTTGAGGAGGATTAAATATTTATTTTTTAAAATAATAAAAAACTAACCTGAAATTAATTTTTTTCATTTTCGTTAGGGGAAAAGGGTATATGTGAGCCATTTATATATAAGTAGGGGTATATATGAGCCACTTTCATAACGAGGGGTATATCAGCTCTAAATGACAAAGTTGAGGGGTATATCAGACCCTTTTCCCTTTTTTTTATGCTCAGGTTAATGTCCAACAAACTCCCTACTGATGAAGCATCACAAAAATTTAGAGTTCATGGACTTTCCAAGTGCATTTGTTGTAAAGTAGGAAGTATTGAGAATGTCGACCACCTATTCAGAAAAGGAGAGCTTGCAGTTAAACTTTGAAATTATTTCTTCAAATGTTATGGCATTGTTACTAGTAGACAAGACAGAATAAGAGATACACTTATTACATGGTGACTGAGCAACACAAGAAACAAGGTTCATTCATTATTCATTCAGTGCTTACTTCTATTTATCTGCTGGGAGATTTATAAAGCTAGATGTAGTCATAAATATGAGGACGTCAAGAGTTATTATGAAAATATCATCAACAAAGTCATTGGCCCGATCAAAATATTACTTTTATGCCAATTCCCACAAGTCCAATTGAAGCAACATTGGAACAACACTATCTTACATATTGAAAATCTCAAGCCTAGAATGAATTTCAAGTTGTATCTTATATATATGGAGTAAACCTAGTCCAGTGAGATTCAAACTGAACACAAATGGATGCAGCAAAGGAAATCCTGAGAGTGTTGGTGGAAGAGGTTTCCCTAGAGATGAAAATGGACCGTTAATCATGTCATACTCAGACTACTATGGAGAATGCTCTAATAATAATGTTGCAGAATTGAAAGCCATACTCTATGAAATTCAATGGTGCATCACAAATGGATATAAAAATGTGGATATTGAATCTGACTCTATGATCATTATTAAAATGACCAACGAGCAAAATAATGTTAGCTGCCACATTATTCATCTCATAAATTAGTTCAACGTCTTGAAAAGACAAGACAATTATAATTTCCAATAGTGCTACAGGGAAGAAAGCAATCTGGCTGATTAATTAGCAAATTTGGGAAAGAGAAAAAGATCAAATTTAGTTCATTCCTCACTGTCACGATCCAGACCGTCGTGATTAGCGCACCCACACTAACCCTCCGGTGGGAGAACCACTACTACAACTCAAACCAAGCAACTAAACCAAAAACTAAAGCATTTAAGTTACGGAACCAAGTTAAATAGCTAAAACTAAAGTTCCCATTAACTTCCAAAAGATCTAACAACTAAACAATACGGAAATACACCTAGAACCTGAAAGTCAATGTACCAAAACTCTACTAACGACAAGTCTAAGAACAAGGGG